CTCCCTACTACCTAATTCCATCTGCTCTTACTAAGCTAGATGTGACCCCACTGCTGGGAAACATTTCAGACCTTTTTATTTTGTGTTTGTATAACTCCATAGAAAAATCTATGGTATTGTCTTTCCATAAATCTTATCTTGCTGTACATTTTGTTCCACAATTTGCTTCTTTCGCTCAGCAGCAATGTTTCATAGAGCTCTCCATGTTTCTACATGGAAATCTAATTTATTCCTAATGGCTACATAGTGTTCCTTAGTATGACTAGACCACAATTTATTTACTCATTTCATTATTCAGATTGTTTGAGTTTTCCACTGTTACAAAAATGTCTGCAGTGAGCATCTTTGGACTCACTTTCCTGAGCACTTACTATGTCCTAGGTATGCTTCAGATGCCTTCAAGGCATAATCCCATTGAATCCCCTGGGATTTGTTTTAATTAGGCATGGTAAGACACACAGACATAGCAATGTGTGCCATGAAGGAAGGAGTTTCTGGTATGCAGAGATCCCTAGATCTGAGACAAGTGAGGGCAAGCAGCTCGCTGCAAGTGTGTTCTTCATGTGATCAAGGACGGAGGAATGAAAAGGTGTGGGGAGTGGGGTGGTACTTAGGCACTGAGGCTCCAGGAAGACTGTGAAGCAGTGTGCCATGAAAGCTGGCACTCTGGGGCCTCAGGGACACAGGAGCTGAGAGATGCTCAGGAGGGAAGGAGACAGGACCACAGGACTGCAGGGGGTTGATGCTGGACATAAATCCCTTCGGTCACCTCCTGTTCAAGTGCCATCATAGCCTTCTCTGCTCACAAACTCCAGGCTTTGCTTCTCACTCTGAGTAAAAGCCAGGTCACTGCCACGGCTTCTAAGGTCCATGTCAGCCAGGTGCCCTTTCCCACCTTCCTGGCTCTGCCCATTGCCCACGCCTCGCTCATTTCACGTCTGTTTCCTGAACGCATCTGGCATGTTCTGCCCCTGCCCCAGGCGTTTTGCATTTCCTCTCCCCTCTGCCTGGAAATGCTTTTCCCTCAGAAAACCACACGGCTCTCTCCTTCATCTCCTTCAGGTTTAAATGCCACTTTCTCCATGAGAGCTTCTCTGTCTACTTTAATAAAAACTACCTCCTCCCTCTCTGCACGGAAGGTGCGACAGACTGCTAGTTTCCCCTGCCCTCCAATCCATTCTCTTTATCTGGTCTTTGGCTGCCCAGTAAAGACGACATTTCCCAGCTTCCCTTGCAGCTAAGTATGGCCACATGACAGTTGTCACTTGAGACACAGAAGAGAACTAATTTGTGTAACTTCTCCCTCACTTGCCTGAAAGAAAATTGTTTGCCTTAGGCTTCCTTTAAAAAAAAATCACTTTCCTTCAGGCCAGACCCCAAACATGCCAGTGATCCAGCTTCAACTACATAAATAAAGACCATAGCTCAGGGGATGGCCGAGAACGAGACAGAAGTTTTCCTTCTTTTATTTATTGTGTGTCTTCCTTAACTAGAACTTAAGTGCTGGGAGGGCAAGGGTTTTGTCCTTGTTCACTGTTGCATCCCAGCACCTAGAATAGTGTCTGGTTCATAGCAGGTACTTAATGAATGCATATAGAATGAGCCACTACTGGCCACCAAAAGGGAAATCATAGTCTGTGCCATGAAGAAAGAGCTTCAGTAAGTTTTGAAAAATAACCCTAAGGCGAGAGGATGGCAGGGAGATGATGGGGTTTGGGGAGCGAAAACAGTGGGGAACTTCATGCAGGGAGGGGAGAGAAGGCACAGTTAGAGGAGGGATAAGGGTCTCCCCAGAAAAGCTCCAGCTGCTCTCCCGTGTTTGGCAGGAGGACTCTGAGGCTTTGCTTGAGCACCTCTCCCTGGGGGTGGGTTTGGGATTGAGAGGGAGGGGAGATAAAGCAAGGCCGCTTGTGGCAGGAAGTCAGCCACACTGTCTTCTGCTTTCCCTTACCCTCATCCCTCCCTCCTCTTGAGAAAAACAGATATCAAAATATATTCAAGATGACTTATTCTGTAGACTTCTTGAGGCGGACGGTGTTCATAGAAATAGCTGTGGAATGGTGGAAAAGCCATGAGCGTGAAGTTGAATTCAAGCCTGAGGTGGTTACTGGTCGGCGGTCCTGAGTAAAGGCACAGACCTCCTCCGTCCTCACCAGCCTGGCACTGCTCCTGTTGTGGGATGTTACGGCTGAATTGTCCCCCAGCCCCGGTTCATATGTTGAGTACCTCAGAATGTGACTATATTTGGACACAGGGCCTTTAAGGGAGAATTAATTTAAAGTGGGGTTTAGGGTGGTCCCTAACCCAGTGTGACTGGCACTGTTAACAAAGAGAGGAGGTGAGAGCACAGACACACAGAGGAAAGGCCGCGCGCCCACAGGGGAGGACCGTGCTCTGCAAGCAAAGGGCAGAGGTCTCAGAAGGGGTCTGCCCTGCCCATGCCTTCGTCCTGGACCTCCGGCCTCTGGAACTGTGAGAAGATAAATCTTCATCGGTTAAGCCACCCAGTCTGTGGTATTTTGTTACAGCAGCCCTACAAAAATAATACATGAGATAGTGTAGAAAACTTACAAAATGGAATGCTGTACCTGCCCCCAAATGCTTGTCTTCCTCAGTTGCATTAAAAGAATCAAATTATTTAAAATGCAGAAGTGCCAGTACTGCCCTGCACTGCTCAGAGCAACAGAGTGAAGACAGAGCCCCTTTCTGGAAATACACTTTGATTGTTGGGGGTGGCTGGTCATTGAGAAACTGGGTCACCTTCAGAGAAAGTCCACAGGCTGGTGAGGAGTCCGAGGGACATCCCGCTGAAGGAAGTGGCTGTGTTTAACTCAGAAAAGAGAAGACTCAAGGGAACATGACTCCATCTACAAATGGGTGAAATGATCTATTAAGAGAGAGGAATTCGATTTAGCTGTGTGGGCCCCAGTGGAGAGCCAGAATCAGTGAGTAAAAGTTTCAGTCAGGTAAATTTCGGCTCAAGCTCAGGAAGGCTATTCTAAGAGAACTGTTGGCAAACACAGCAGGCTTCCTCAAGAAGTATTCAATGAAGCTGGATGACTACTTATTAGAAATGTCAGAGAGCCCCTGCTCTCTGACAGCATAGGGACTCAAGCATAGATCCCATGTTTGGACCAGATAACCTTGGATGTCCCTTTGGGTCCTGCCATCCCTGTATAAATAGGTTGTACTCCAGCTGAAGAACGGATTTCAACAGCATTCAGACATATCTCCTATGATGGTAAAAACATGTGCATGGCTAACAAATATTTTTGATCTTTGTTGATTTGATGGCGATTAGAAAGAAAAGATTTAGAAAATTGAGAAAAATGGAATAAATATTAGAACTGCAGGACAGTCATAGGACCTTAGAAGCATGGAAGATGTCCAACCAAGATTTTGGAGCCCCAAAGCACAAGCTTTAGCAGGAAGCAGCGTGTGCCAGTCAAAATCTTAAACTTATTCTGTGTAAGGCTGCTGTCTCAATTTTACGAATTGAAAAAAAAATACTGAGCTTGATTTATCTACTAAAACCTAATCTATCCTGAAAGAACTTGTTAAAATTACTCCTAGTAAGAGTCTACTATAAAAGCTGTAATTTCCTAACTACCATCAGTACATGAGATTTGGGAAAAGTCGATAGAAGCAAGGGATGATTTGGTGGCTGCATCAGGAACACGGTTTTCACGTCCACAAATTACTACAGACCCGTGGCGTGCCACTGGCTCTGAAGTGCCGCCTGCGGGCACCGCCTCATAAGCTCACGCACCCTTTAGTCACGGGGCTGCAGCGCGGCCTCCAGCGCAGCCGGCGAGGGAGGCCTGCCTTGGGGGACGGCGGGCGGCCCGAGCCGGGCAGTGAGGGCTGCGCCCGCTGCGCGCTGAGCCGGGACAGCAGAACCCGCGCAGGGACCGCACGCAGCTGGCGAACTCTCTCCACGGGGCCTGGGAGGGCAAACATCCTCACCCCCAGGGTTCCACACGCAGCCCCCGTTGCCTCCCCTCCCCCAGGTACCCAACCTGCAGCGTGGCACAGACCCTCCCTCCCGACCCCCGCCTCCTCGCCCAGCGGAGCGTCTGCCCGGCCGAGGCTCGGAAGGGCTGCGTCCTCTCCAAGACTGGCTGAGAGTCGCACTTAATGCCTGCGGCCGGCAAAAGCGGAAATACCGAGGGTGCAGGGGACGGGGACACTGTCTCTCAACCGCCTCCGGTTGTCCTTCGGGCTCCAAGGGGACCCGCAGACCTGTGGCGGGGGTTGGCGGAGGGGCGTCGCGCGGGAAATAAAAGACGTTGGCAGTTGGCAGCCCCTGCTCAAGTTGGCCCTGTTGGTGGCGAGGGTCCTGGCGGGGTGGCCGCCGCGCACTCTTGCCTCTCGGCTTGGAGGCTGAGTCCCCCGCGCCGTCCGGAGCGCTGGGAGCACCGAAGGCCGCGCGGAGACTGCGGCGGGCCCCGGGGCTCGCGCGGCGCGGCGGGGGCCGCCGTCCAGCACCTGGGAAGGGGCGACAGCGCTGTGCCTGCGTTCGAGAGCGGCCGCCGGGCGCCCAGCGTCCCGACAGGTGCAGGCGCGCGGGCTTCCCATTGGTCGCGGCGGCGACGGCGGCCCCCTCCCCCTCCCCGCCCTCGCCGGTCCCCCTGCCCCGCCGCGGCGCCCGCTCGGTTGGCGGAGGCGCGTCCCCGCGCGCGCGCTCCCGGCCGCGTGCCCCTCGCCCCGTCCCGCCCCCTCCCTCTGTCCGCGCCGCGGCGCGCTCTCCAGCTCAGGTAGCGGGCGCGCGGCGCCTCCTCGGGGGCGCGCGGCCAGGCCGGCCCTCCCCCGCAGCCGCCCGCCGGGAGCCGGGGCGCGAGCGCGCGCGGGGGGAGCGGAGCCGGGCGCCGCCGCCGAGGCTTCCGTCTCGCTCGCGCGGCGGCGGCGGCAGAGGTCGCGCACAGATGCGGGTTAGGCTGGCGGGGGCGGGGGCGGAGGCGGAGGCGGAGGCGAGGAGCGAGCTGCTTGCGAGAGCCCCACAGGTAAGGCGGCCCGGAGCCCGGGAGGCGCTCTCCATCCCGGGGAGGCGCGCAGGCCGCGGGGGGGACTTGGCGCCTGCCGCTGCTCCCCAAGGGAGGGATTTTGGGCAGCGCAGAGAAATCTCACTGGGGACTGGGGCAGTAGGGTCCACCCCGATCCCGGCGACAGCCAGAGAAGTAGCCAGGGGGGACGGTGCCACACTGAGATTCCTGAGAATGAAACGTATAGGCCCAGGGAAAAGTGTTTCCTCGGCCCGCAGACGCTGGAAGGCTTTAGACTTTCCTGCCAGGGGCACCACCGCTGAATCCCGCGGAGCGGCGCGGAGCCCGTGTCGCTAACCCCTGCCCGGCCTCCCCTCCTCCACCCTCCGCGCGCGGCACCCGCGGCGGCTGTTCCTCGGGGCGCCCCGCGCGGGGGGGTCGCCGTGGGAAAGGGGCGGAGGCCGCGCGGGGGAGGACCGGGACGGAGCCTGGGAAGCCGAGGCGCCGGGTGCCGGGGCGGAGGGCGGCGAGTGTGGCCCCCGAGCCCCGACAGCCTGGGGTATCGTCGTGCTCCGCTCCCGGTTGCAGACTCTGGTAAGCTGGATGCCCTCTGTGGATGAAAGATGTATCATGGAATGAACCCGAGCAACGGAGATGGGTTTCTAGAGCCGCAGCGGCAGCAGCCTCAGTGCCCCCAGAGACTCCTGGCCGTGATCCTGTGGTTTCAACTGGCGCTGTGCTTCGGCCCTGCACAGCTCACAGGCGGTGAGTGGCTCTGCTGAGACGCGAGGGCCGGGCGCAGTCGGGAGGGAGAGCCCGGCGGGCAGGACGGCCCTGCGCCCCTCCCCCACACACGCAGACTTCGGGGTTCCTGAGAACCGAGGGTCCCTGCGTCCCAGCCCAAGCTCCTCCTGCTTCGAAGCCCCTGGAGTTCCCAGACAGTCCTCTGTGGAGCCCGCACAGATTCACACGCCCACATTCTGCCTGGAGCTTTCCACCAGGCGCCCGGCCTGGCTTCTCCGGTGGAGAGACAGGAAGGCCTGGCCCATTATTCTCGCTTTGGCCAAGAAAATGAGAGAAGGAAAAAAGTGGTGTGTCTGTGGAGCTCTGACCCTGGGCCGTGCCCTCGGACAGAGGTCAGGTTTCAGCTTCTGGATTTGGGCAGGAGTTGCGAGAACCACCTTGGAGAATGTGAAGATCTGAGAACGTGGCCAGGCTGGCTCAAGGGCAGTTTCTCTGAAAGTTAACTTTCTGTTTCCTTGGGAGGGGTGTGTACAAGCATGACTGTGCATGTGGGGACAGGAAGGGGGTGCAGGGGTTTTTCCTTCAGTTGTGTTTCTGGAAGATTGCTTTACCTACCAGTCAGTTGCTGTTCTATGAAGTGGAAGTTAGCTGAAATAAAATTGATAGACTCAGTCTCTGTAGGTGGCTAATCTGTGACATACGTGGTTCTGGGGAGGGGGCTATCATTGGGCTGTGGTAGAGGAGGACAGATGGAGCTCCTGTCTGAGTTTCAGAGCCTAAGCCTCTGCCTCCACTGCTCGTTGCTGTCCTTCCTTCCCGTTCATTGCAGATTCCTTTTGAGCTTGCTGATGTTAAAAGGAGCTGAAACACTGTTAATATATAGGCAAATTATAATTGGTTAAAAAACAAGGATTAATTGGTATAAATAAACCATTTTAATGTTTTTAAATATTGTTGTTTCAGAGAATTCAAAGGCGAAGATAGAATAAAACCAGGGAAAGATTAGCAAAAGCGGAGGAGGGGAATAACAAGTTGGGTGCTAACATGGAGTAATCAATAACTCAGGCATTCTACTTGGACATCGGGAAGATGCCCAGAGTGAGCAGGTGTTTACTGTGATGTACATCTGTCAGAATTAGGAGAAAACCCTTGCTTGGGATGGGGACTTGGATTTTTTTTAACAAGTGATACCTTTTTGGGTGCTCAATAGAGGACAAGGTCAAATGTGAAGCCAAGCCAGCACCTGTGTGCCCTGCCAAGGGTCTAGTCCCCGCCTCTGTCCCTGGATGCTGCTCTGCCTCACGGGCAAGTGGGAATAGGTGGGCAGAGCAGCACTGGGCAGATCTGGGTCATTCACTCCCCTCCTCTTCTCTTGCCCCCCAGTTCTAGCTTTCATGCCCTTCAACCAGCTCCACATGACTTTTCCATCCTTTTGGTCCATATGTCCCATGCAGAGGACAGATTAGTTAATCAGGGTTCATTTACATTTGTTTTGACTGTTATTGGACTAGTGAGGCCTGAGCACAGCTGGGATTTGAAGGCTGTGCTCTTGGTTCTGCCCACTGGTGTTTTCAGAGGATCTTCCTTGAGCTTCCAGAGCTCAGTGCACAGCGTGGCCCCCTCGGTCTCATGTCAGTCACCTGTGAGGTTCCCACGGCATTTGTTCCCTCCTTTCCTATAGGGGAACACACCAAGCAAAAACATCTAGGATCTTGGAGAAGAGGGTGGGAGTAACTGTTACCTGTCGGTTTCAGAGCTCTTCCTTTTTAGCTGCTAGCCATCAGCTTTGTTCCGCCTTGAACTCCTCCAGGCTGAGAGTGTGATTTCTGGAAGAATATTCTTCATTTCGCAGTTCATCTGTGAATAAACAGTTTGAGTGAGGCAGGGTGATGGGGGACGTCCTATGGAGTTACTACACAGAGATTTTCTTTCTTAGGTGAGAAACTCACTTGTAGGCTCCAACATGGCAATAAAAGCAAATTTACCTTAGCTCTAGACTGACCTGTGCCTCTGAAACTTTAATGTGCATACAAATCACCTGGGATCTTGTTAAAAGGCAGATTCTGATTCACTTGGTCTGGGGTGGGGCCTGATATTCTGCATTTCTAATAAGTTCCCAGATGAAGCAGTTGCTGCTGATCCAAGGACTGCACTTTGATTAGCAATGCTTTAGACTAAGGCATTCCTTCAAATAAGTTGCTTCTGACTCCACACTTTTTGCCAGCACTCTCAATTACCAAATGCAAATGGCCTGTGAGGAGCAGAAGTCTCACCCAGTATCTAATCTTTAGGTGATATACAGAGCTGAAAATTAGTCTTTTTTTTTTCATCCACAAGAAAGGTGCATATTTAATAGGCACTCTTCTGAAATGTGGATTTTCATTTTTGATTGCTTTCAATGGAAAAGGAATGCCACAATAGCAAGATATAATAGTCTCAGCTGGGGGGTGGGGTGGGAAAGTATATGCCCAATACAAGTATGACAGAAAATGCCTGAACTAGACAGGGAGAAATTGAGAAAATGATCAGACAAAGAAAGGGGGAAAATAACTCCATTAAAAATGAAATGCTTTGTTCTAGAAAGCCAGAGATCCAATTCAATTCTTTGAGCCCTAGGAGAGCTTTTGTAGCCTGAAGTGACGTTTAGGTGGCTTTCTCCAGAGTATCTTTTGTAAATTAAGAAAAAGGGCCCTCATTTGGGGCCACTAAAACCAAATACCTTGAGAAGACTGATAGGTTCATAGGGAGATCTAGGATGCTGCTGTCCAGAATCTGCGTGGGCTTCTCTCTTTTCCACCCCAGTTCCACACCTTACCAGAGGGGCTTTGAGGGATGCCCAGGCTTAGAGGAAGAGAGCCCCAACTTTGCTCTACACGTCGCTCATTGGAGGTGAATTCATTAGCACATCCCTGGATTATAAATAACTCAGACTGGGCTCTGCCACTTGATAGCTTGGGGGGTCCTCAGTTTCCTCATCTATAAAATGAGGCTGATGATGCTTAACGTATAGGGTTGGTGTGGGGATGGAAATCGTGTAGATATTCAGTAAATGTAGGTAGTAGTGGGGGTGGCTAAGATAATGCCCTATTTTGGGGGGCGTTTGCATTATTCATTCAGTAAATATTGAGTGTCTGTCTTGCAATCTGAGCCAAATACTGTTGAATACAATATTCTTTTTACCTAGAAGAACCCTCCCCTACTCTCCATTTTTGCCCAGTGAACACATTTCTCTTCAAGACCCAACTTGAATGCCATCGACTCCTTCATATCTCCCTGGACAGTAAGTTCTTCCCTTACCTGGTCTTCCGTTGCCCTAGGTGTAAGCCTCTAACATAGAGTTGTCTCATTTACTGGAATGGAAGCCCACTGAGGGCAAGAACCTTGCCTTTATTCATTTTGTGTCCCAGGCACCCAGCACAGAATCTGACAGTAGATGCTCAGCTAATGTTGGTTGACAGCAAGATCCCCAAATTCTTGCTACACCAGTTAGAAAATAATTACCATGGATGAGTAACAAAAGTGCACAAGTTTCATGGCAGTTGAGGCCACATCCAATTAGAAGAGGTGTAGGAGGTTGGAGGAAAAACCAGGAAAGGCCCTAGAGAAGAGGCAGCACTTCGGGTGGGACGGGGGCTGGTGCATCTCATGGGGAAGACACATTGTACAAAGGTGTGGAGGTGGTTACATGAGTGGACTTTTCGGGGAGCAGAGAATAGTCTGGTTAATCTAGAACATTGTATGCCTGCAAGGAACCAGTAGGGTAGAAGGACAAATAGGTTGGAACCTCATTCTAAGAGTCCTGGAAGCCCCAGTGAGGATCCCAAATGTCACACAGCAGGTAGTAGGGACCCACTGAAGGCTTTAGAGTAGAGCATAATATCATCTGAGCTGGGCTCCTCATCCTTTCTCTGCCTCTGACTTGGGGCAAACCTCCCTCCTGGCTGCCCCCTCTGCACACCCGAGTTATAGTCCTACTGCAGCTGAATTAAACTCCTTGAGGTCTCACTTGGGTTATGTGGCCGTAGCATTGGGCTGTGTGCCAGCGGGCAGGAACAGATGCTTTCTGACTGACTCACTGATTGCTGTGAGTCTCTTGGTTTTATTGAGAATTTTTTTCTTACACGGCAGAGTGAAAGCTTTTCATGCAATGGTATGTCTAAAATCCCTGATTTCAAACTGCACTTAATCTGTTCACAAAGTTTCAACTCCTCAAACTCTAAATGTTTCTTTGAGATAGGTTACCTTAATATAAGCAACACAGAAACTCTTTTGATTTATCCACTGGGTGAAATCCGAGAAAGCTCTGGAGGCAGAGGAAGGATTTCATATAACAAGTAGCAAATCTCTCCTCTCAGAGGCCTGAAGAGGCTGGTGAGAGAATCAGTGATTCTTTAATTCCTGAGCATAACAGAGAGTGTAGGTAAAGATCTCTCTCCAGTAAATATTGATTGCATAGGTGAAGAAAAACACCTAAATTACTCTGTTCCTGGTGTCAGAGGCATATTTCCACAGCTTGCACAGGCCAAGGAGACTTGCCCTTAGATGGGAAGCTCTGGCTAAAATATGGGCTATGCATTCTTTATAGGATTGACAGAGCGGCACTTCAGCCTCTGCCCTTAAATAGCTACATGGCTTTGGGCAAATTTTGTAACTTCTCCTTGACTCAGTTTCTTTTATATCAGTAATACTCTTTGATTTTGTAATTATAGGAATTTGATAATTTGAAGGGTTCTAAACTCAGGGTAAAGTGAGCCCTCTTTTTTTCCATCTCTTTCTCTCTTTCTCTTCTTTCTTTCTTAAATGGAGTCTCTGTTGTCCAGCCTTGGAGTGCAGTGGCATAATCATAGCTCACTTCAACCTCAAACTCCTGGCTGGGCTCAAGTGATCCTCCTGTCGAAGCCTCCAGAGTAGCTGTGACTACAGGTGTGTGCCACTATGTCAGCTAGTGTCTACCAAATGCCCTTACGTTACACAAATAAGGGGACACAGTCCCTGCTCCTGAGAAAATATATAAATAAGGA